ATGCTGATGCCATTCTACACACCAGGAAATCAAGATCTCTAAGGACGTATATGTTACAGTGCCTCTAAAATAGCATCGGCTTTGGGGTTTATAATTGGGGTTCATTTTCTCCTGGACAGCTACTGCCAACAATAGCTCAAGACACAACTGTAGTACTGATATGAGTGACACCCCTGTGTCATCAAGTAATTTATTAATCTACTTTCCCTTAAATGAGATGAATTTACTCATACCAAGTTTCTCTTGCAACAGTACAAATCTTGCATTCGGACTTATTCCATTAGTGCACATATACATTTGTATGAACTCCCAGTGGTTGTATCGGGACATACACATAGACATAAATGCATAGGTCAATAGACTTTGGAGATATTAGATATGATAGTATACAAGAAATGTCCACTGTCTCATTCCTGCTGTTACAAACATTATTGGATATTTTATTTATTTGTGTTTGTAGGGGAAGTCTAGATCGTGTGTGTGTGTGCGCGCGCGCATGACTATATAAAATATCTTTCTAAATCAGTTCAATATCCATCTGAGGTCTATAGGGTCAGTATGCTGATATAGAGATAAAGAGTATGGTCTTAGATTCACCTGCCAATCAACTCTGTTACTAAGTGTCTGACTGGAACTCAGACTGTCTCCTTAACTGGATTCTGAGTCCTTAACCACAACCTTCTCCTATTTAGCTCTTGTGACAATCCGAGTATCTAAGTTCAGTCTCTCTGTTTTTATAGACAAGAACACTAAGGCCAAGGTGAAGTAGTCCATCCGGAGCTATGCTCAGTGTTTCCATTGTTGTGTTTTGGCTCTGACTGAATTCAGTCTTTTCCAAACAGATACATTAATGCAAAAAGCAGAAATCGGCTGCCTATCCACAGATTGGATCATTTGGGAAAGAAATTGTATTTTTAAGCCATAAAGGAAAGCACTGCTTCCCTCCAACTGAAATAATCTCATTGGGAAGGTTATGCAAAGAATAGACAAGTACTGGGAGCTTATTATGTGATTTTTTCCCATTTATTAATTCACATAACCTTTCCCAAGCTGTGGGTAGTTTTCTTTTCTCTGTTTTGCAGAGGAGGCACTGGGAAGTTAAATAGCTTGGCTATGGTCATACAGCTAACACGATTCATACTAAGATTCACCCTCCAGCAGATGGGCCGAACCTGGGCCTTGAGCACTCGGATGATTGCCACATTAGTTTGTTTGAGTTCCATGTGTTTAGCAGGGAACATCAGTAGGGACTCTCGGTCCCTGTCCTAGTTGTCTGAGGCTGGAATCACAGCAACTATGATCACATGAACAGACCCCCTAGTTATAGTTAGAAAAAGAAAACCACATTTTTCCACGGAGGTGATTGAAATGGCAAGATTTAAGGTTGATTTCTAAAACAACAACTAATAAACATAAAAGCTACAATCAGCACATTTTTCAAAAATCTTTGGCCATTACTAAACAGGTTCTAGAAAACCCCTTCATCATCCCATTCATACTCACTAAGCGGAGCAATCCTCCCTAATTTGTCTGTCTTAAACTGATGAATCATAAGATGTCCGTGGCCCTGGTCTCAGAAGCCGTCTCATCTTTCTGTTGGCCAGCCAGGCCAACCTAATTAGATGAGCTCCAGGCCAATGAGAGATGCTATCCTCCAAAATCAAAGTGGGTGACTCCTGAATACACCTGAGAGTGACTTCTGGCCCACTCAACACACAGACACACACAGACACACACAGACACACAGAGACACACACAGACACACACACACACGGGGGGGGGGAGAGGGAAAGGCTCAAAGTTGTTATAAAATGGAAACACATGAGCATTAGAATTAGATGATGTTTGTTCATTTGTTCATTCAGTCTTGGTTGAGTTGCTCATCGACTAAGTGAAGTATTTCATTTCCTGCATCTCAGTTTCCTCTTTTGCCAATGATGCAGCTCCCTCTGCCTGTCTTTTTCCTCTCTCAACTGTTAGTAGATTGCTATGATACCGAAATGGCCTTTGTAAACATGATAGTGCAGGCTAGCTGCAAGTGGGCTTAACATGGAAATTACTGAACAATGTGATTCCGACCGGCAAAGCCCACCCAGGTCCAGACACCTGAGGCTGGGAGCATTAATCTCCATCTGCAGTTTAGATGACAGTGTTTATGCAGAGACGGCTGAAGCAAAGCAGGGCACGGGACACGTGATTAGAGAGCAAATGCTTGCACATGTGGCTTTCAAGGTGCGCACTGTGTCCACTGAGGAAATGGTCTTGCACACACAGCTAGAAGAAGGTGAGACACAATTCTGGAGATTTTATTGCAAACAATGCGAAGTAGCATGGGAGGTGTGGAGGGAAGGAGTAAGCAGGGGAGGCAAGGAGTTTACAGTTTACCACAGGGTTTCCACTTCTCCTTATTAGACCTTATATTTCAAGGTTTGGCGTATGCAGGAGAATAACCTGCCACTGACTATAGTCTAAAGCATCCAAATGCCATTTGCAGAGTGTCTAGGCGCCTCTGTCCGAGCCCTGTCTGGTGTTTTGAGAGAGAAATCAGTCTCTTTTTTTTCCTTGTGTGCAAAGGGCCAGCAGTCTCCATGGAAGGGTTCTGTTTTTAGAACTGATGATAAATGTGCGTGTGGGATCCCGTTAAGCTGGGAATTCCTTTGAAATTCTCATTTCTCTTTCTCTCAGCTATCCATAGATAGATCCTGGCTACATTTGGGTCTGAAAGCTCTTCAGCCTGACTCCCCCTTGAGAGTCATGTTCTTTTTTGAAAGGCGGTTTTTAAAAAGTGAAGGCTGTTTTTTCACTCAGAATAAGAATATTCTCCAGCAGGGAGGGTATTGAAGTAACGGAATCCATATGTTGAGGCCGCCAGCTAATGCTCAGCATATGGGCCAGCGAACTTTGCAGGCAGAAGTATGCCCCTGCTTTTAGGCAATGCCCTGGAAACTCCACAAAGGGATATTGCTCAGGTAAGTCATGTTGGAGGCACAGCTTCAGAACTTCAAAGTACCATCCATTCCACGAAGTGTGAGGTTCTGCTTGGCCTTCAGATTCATAGCTCTGGCCCCAAGCTCTCAGAATAGCAGAGGGACTCAACCCTGGGCTTTCTATATTCCCAAAGAAATGGCCTTGCAAAGGGCTGTCACTCAGTATATCCAGATGGTTTCTTCCATTCAGTGGGAATATCTTCCCTCCACAAAGATCACACTGCAAAGTGAGCTAGAACTGGGGAGAGCCAGGAGGCCTGGTCTCCACAGCACAGACCTGTACCTAGAAATGATTGTAAGGAAATCACTTCATTGTTCCTCCTCATCTGGAAAGTAAAGAGGCAGGTCAGGGTGATCTCTGAGACCCCCTTCCCAATGTCACAGTGTGGAACTGAGCAGCAACCTACGTCCAGCTAGAGAGGATGAGGAAAGCAACCCCAGCTGGTTGCATCTGGACCAGTGGGCTCAGTCCTTGCCCGCATCATGTCCCAGTGCAACTGTGTGTACCAAGGGCTAGGCACAGAAAGATTGAGGGTGGGGAGGATGAATTCCTGGGGAAGAATTAAGCCCTGATTCCCAGACTGGTTGGCAACAGCAAAGTGGAGGTGGAAACACCCCCTAGATTGTTTTACTGTTTCCCGCAGTCCAGGTTTTTGAATGTGCCCAAGCTCAGCCTCCTATCCACAGAGGAGAGCTCAGCTCCCTCCTCTCCTTGACCCTGAACCCTTTTCCTTACCCTTTTCTTCCTTCCATTTTTTTTCGCTCCATGCTGGTTCCACTTCACCCCTTTCCCTCTATAGCCTCCGCTGAATTTCTCGGGACCCGCCTTGTCAGGATGGTTAGGAAAGCTGTACCCCAATACTCTGCCTTCCCCCTCCCCGAGTACTCCCTCTCCAGCCCCAGGCAGGCCTTTTGATCTCTGTATTCTGCTGAGCACAACTGTGGCCTCCTGTCTCATGAGCCCATACTCAGAGCTGCTGCACCAGGCCTGCCTGCGAGCCGATCACCATGGCAACGAGCTTTCCCTCCATTATACTATGAACAGAAAATGGCTGTTGGAAGGAAGAGCTCAGTGTCTCTATGACCCAACCTGGGTTTTTATAGGAGGGTGGAGGGCAGGGCTGGTGCTTGCTTCATAATGGCTCTGAGGAGCTCCGTCTGTAGAACCCAATGTGTACTCGTCTTCGCTTTTTAGATTTACTTAAAGAGAGCAGGGGCAGAAGGAAGCTGATTTCAAATGAATAAAGAATTCTGCTTCCCTATCCTAAAACTGTGTTTTCATGAACAGTCGTTATCTGCTCTAAGGAGATAAACAAGAAGTGGAATGAAGCGGGCATTGGTGAGATCTGGTGTTATGTATTTTTTTCTTATCAGTACCATGGGGGAGACTGAGCGTATGGATATTCAAATAAAAATTCAGGGAAAGTAGCCCCGGGAATGCAAAGAATCCCACGAAGCCCAGGCTGTGGGGTTTCAGAAGCACAGCAGACTGATTGACCGTCCTGATCTTTATTTCCATCTCCGGAGATAGGTGTGATGGTTATATGTTGCAGGGCAAAGCAGACTCTCATCAGCACCCCTGCTTTAGAATGGGGCTGATTCACAGTGATCAAGCATGGCAGCATAGGGAATGGGCAAGCTAACCCTATGCTTAGTTCTAGGGTGACAAGCTGCCCGCCCTAGAGACACTTCAGACTGATACCCAAAAGGAACTGGCTGGCCGGCTCCTTCTGTGAACACAAAGCATAACTGTTTACGCAGTGGCCCAGGGGATCGTTCCTCTTGACAGCAGATAGCATGTAGGAGTGGTCTGGGCTGTGTCTACTTCTGGCTACAGGGCAAAGTCACTTTGATAGTGACAAGTTCTCAGAAGCCAAATAAACCGCATAGTCCTTTTTAAAGCTGAGTTTGAAAATCCCATTTTTGAATGAAAGCTTTAGGGTTTGATCTCAAATTTTTAAAGGCGTGTTTGAACTCAACTTTTTTCTTTTTCTTTCTTTTCTTTTTTTCCAGTTTCCCTGCAAGTGGATATTGTTCCCAGCCAAGGAGAAATCAGCGTTGGAGAGTCCAAATTCTTCCTGTGCCAAGGCAAGTGTCTTGGGTCCCATCACATTCCAAAGCTTGTCTCCAAAATCCGTCGCTCAGAGAGGAAGCCGGGGGTGCCAAACCTAGAATTCTGGCCACTGCTCTCCTCTAGGTCAGCAGTGTAACCACTGCAAACCATGTTCAGAAATTTTCTCTTCATAGTGAAGAGAAACACTGTCTATGTTTCTGCTTGACACTAGGGCATCTCAAAGGGGCTTGTAGGAAAACCAGCATATACCCCAGAGAGTGAATCATCTCAGGTCTTGTATCTTGTTTCTTGTCTATAGCCAGTTCTGGAATGCAGAATAAATTTAGAAAAGAATACCTCTATAGATCAGGTTAAGGTTTGTTTCTTAGAATAACTCAGACCTTGAAAAGTCAAGGTTTTAGAAGTGCATTGAGGATGAGTGCCACCGGTTGGGAAGACACATAGCTTGGTTTTCTACAACCAATTTGGTCTGCCCATCACCACCACACACGTGCACAACGCTGGGATATGTCAGAGCTGGCGTTCTTATTGCTTCCTTAGGACATATACCCTGATCAGAATTGGGAAACATCCAGTGGAGGAGAGTACGTGGAATTAGTCTTCGAGACATTTGCAGATGACATGCCTGGAATTTGGAATGTAACAGAGACAGGAATGAACCGAACTAGGTGTGAGCTGCGGCATTTAACAAGCAGCTTTGGGCGAAAAGGAGCTCTAATTGCCACCATGATTTGCATCTGATCAGAGGGCTGTGGCCGATGGAAACATTTTCTCCAGCTCTGCCATCATTACAGCAGTTTCAATGATCTGAAGATAGCGCCTTAGTGCGCACAGCACATCTTGCAAATTGTGATATTTATTGAAAATGTGATAAACCCCAAAAGGAAGACCGCATGTCTATACCAAGCATCTATACAGGGCTAGGCAATGCAGGCTGGTACCCACAATATAGGTAGAGGGACAAAGAGGGAGCATTGGCTTGGAGATTCCTTCACCCTGACTCAATCTTGCTTTTAGGCCACTGAGCAATAGTAGTGTCCCTCACAGGTGCCCAGAGAGAGGGGCATTGCTGATATCCTGTCTCCTCAGAGCATATAAGGGATTGCCTGGGGCAATAGGCATCAGGATGTCCCTCATACAGTCAAAATGGCTGGAATCTTAACTCTTGGATTACCCAGTTTCTCTTATCTTCAACTCAGATGATCATTATCCACCCTCTACATCCTGGTCAATTGGTTCAACTCAACTAGATCCTGGAGCTCAGGGCTCAGATAAAATAACCCCTCTTAATTTCCCATCCCATAATATACATTCATCTCCAGCTTAGTGCATGGCGCACAATAAGTTCACAGCAAATATTGTCCTTCCCCAAGGACAAGACCACTAAAAAACATGACAGGCACAGGTAGCTGGTGAGTTCTTTCAACTCTAAGAGATGTTATGATATAAAACAGACACAGAACAGAGCTGCCAAATGTTTGATGATAGAGATCCCTTTTCAGCCTTCCAGTCTCTGCCATCAGGAGCTCTTACTAGGTAGCCACTGATACTCCGGAAGGGATTAATCTTCTTACGTTCTGTGCTCTGAAAGTAATCTCTTCCTCCTTAGTGGCAGGAGAAGCCAAAGATAAGGACATCTCCTGGTTCTCCCCCAACGGGGAAAAGCTGAGCCCAAACCAGCAGCGGATCTCGGTGGTGTGGAATGACGACGACTCCTCTACACTCACCATCTACAACGCCAATATCGACGATGCCGGCATCTACAAGTGTGTGGTCACGGGCGAGGATGGCACCCAGTCTGAGGCCACTGTCAACGTGAAGATCTTCCGTAAGAGCCCTCATGTGTACTCTTTACCCCTACCCCTGTTAGAAAGAAACATGGGTGTGTAGCAAAAGCAGAGAGATGGCAACAGGAGGACCAGTAAGAGTCTGTCCCTGAGATGCTAAGAGTTCTGGTTCATGGTTGGCCTAGAACGCATAAGGCTGGTTTCCACTGGTCTTATGAATCTACATTCCCACTGTCCTCCATTCCAGAGGCTACACAATTCCTAGAGGGCTACCATGGGTTCTTCCATGACTTCTAAATGATAGACATACAGTTTAGGTTTTCCCTTTTTAATCCCACTTCCTTTGCTGGTGATACAGACCAGAGACCTAGTGAGATGCGGTATTATATGCAAATACTTGATACTGCTCAGAAAAGGTAGTTTCCATTGCCGCTGAAAGCCAACCTGGCAGTGACATCTCATTGCCTTCTTAATAGGCGTAGTACTGGCTCAAGTCATGATAGGTGACAGCTAGCAGGTAGGTGTCGAGCAGCATAGCATTTATTGCCATTCAGTGTGCTCGCATTCTTCGGAATTCTCTCTGTTGTAAGGAAATTGGGGTGGGGTCAGAGTGGAAGACCAAAAAATAATCAGTGACCCTAACTGTCACTGTAGGATAGATGTGATACTCACCACTGTACCTGTGTGCATCATCACTACAGCAGGGAGCCCATTCCCCTCTAGAGACCCCTTAATGCTAGCTGCTCTACCTTCATCCAAGACCCAGTACTAAGCTGAGCAGGAACCCCTCCTATACCACTAGATTGTGGGTGGAAACTGGCCTGGGATTGAAATCAGGCAACACAGTTCTATGAGAAGGTATGGTTTCCTCACACTGCTCCTGATGCTGCCTTTCAGAGAAGCTCATGTTCAAGAATGCACCAACCCCACAGGAGTTCAAGGAAGGGGAAGATGCGGTAATTGTATGTGATGTGGTCAGCTCTCTGCCCCCAACCATCATCTGGAAACACAAAGGCCGCGACGTTATCCTGAAAAAAGATGGTAAGACCTAAGTTCTCACGAGCTATATGGTCCCCTAGATTTCTACCCCTGAGGGAGGTATTCCATTTAAACACAGATTCAGGAGCCTAGAACCCACATGCAAATTCTTGGTCCCAAATAGATATATATCTGTAACTGGTATGTTCGGGCATCTGGTTGTCTCTCCAGAGCAGAAGACATATCCCTAGTAGACTTATCTCATCTGTATTTATGGACCAGTGGTTACTTTTCTCATTTCAGTCTAAACCCCAACCTTGAAGATAAAAAAAGGACAAGATAGCCAGGCTGTGTCATGTGTCTGTAATCCCAGCATACAGAAACTGATAGGAGGAATGGCTACATGTTTGAGGCTAACCTGGGCTACATAGTGAGTTCCAGGCCAGAATCGACTACATGGTGAAACTCTGTCTCATAAATAACAAAACACAAAATCAATAAAAGGCTAGAGCAGGAGGCCCAATTGCTTACTTGCCTGATTGTGGAGTTGACTGACTGACCTTGGATGAATCTGCCTCTTGTCTCTTCCAGTCCGATTCATAGTCCTGTCCAACAACTACCTGCAGATCCGGGGCATCAAGAAGACAGATGAAGGCACTTACCGCTGTGAGGGCAGAATCCTGGCCCGGGGGGAGATCAACTTCAAGGACATTCAGGTCATTGTGAATGGTGAGGAGCTCTGTCCTTCCTGTTCTCTCCATGGCTACAACCAGGGTTCCCTGGAGACCTTCTCTTCCTGTTCCTCTTGGGTGTAGACCTGTTCTGACTTATTCCTGCATCTCAACAGAATTTCTTCCTACTATCATAACCTCTTGGAGGGGAGATTAATGTGTTAATTTTCACATTAACATACTAGTTTTTGGTGTCTTCCCTCAATTGTAGATATTAAATGCCCTTCATTGCAGGACTAAAACCTTTCCCTGTTGTACTAATCAATCCCTCTTCATCCCTAGTGTCCTTGATGTTATCATCATTAGGAAGTTGGTCTCCTTGGTTTGATGGGCAGAGAAAATATTGCAATCAATTCAGATCTCAGAATAGTGAACATCATGGTCCGTGGGTTTATTAATCTTAATTTGCAGTGTCAAATAAACACACCCGTAGCATCGATCTGCCACTTGCAAGATGTTTACAGGAAATGATAATGTCAGTACTAAGAAAATAAGTAAATCACATTTGAATTGTTTTGGTTATCGATATGTGCTTTCTTGCCAAACTCTCCCCCTCTCGTCCCTTCGGTGGAAACGCGTTGTGCACGAGGTTGTTTATGACAGTTGCAGAGAAATGCCACTCTGCTGAGCTACTGTCTTTCTGAAGCATACCAACCTGAAAACCACCAGGAACTGCGTTTTCTAACTTTTGCCAGCATGGAGAGCCTCCTTTTAACATTGAGTGTCCGTCCCCTCCCCCCCCCGCCTTTGTAGTTATATAGCATATATTGATTAAGAAAAAAACACCATAACAAACAGCCGCTGAAAATCAAATACCGCATGAACATGAGTTAAGAGGTAATATAATGGCTAGAGTCTTACAAAACAATAATGCACATTTGTGGGCAAATTTTTTGGTAGGTTGACATTAATTATGTATAATGCCATTCGAGTTTAGATCACTTACACTGATTTGATAGCTGTCCAGGTCTTTTGAACTCCAGGTGGTGACTCTGTGGCCCACTGACCCCCAGATGCCTCTTCTCAGGGCCATCGGGTACTTTTCAGTTGTGTACAACTGTTCCTGACATTCTTCTTTCCTTCAGTACCGCCCACCGTCCAGGCCAGACAAAGCATCGTGAATGCCACTGCCAACCTGGGCCAGTCTGTCACCCTGGTGTGTGATGCTGATGGCTTCCCAGAGCCTACCATGAGCTGGACAAAGTAAGAAACTAGCTTGTGCCTTGTGTCATGGGTGAGAAGAGAAGGGAACCCATAGAACCCATTGTCTGTGGGGTTTTCAGTGGCATGAGTGTGGGCTTCCTAATGTATCAGGGTGAGGGATGATTCTTTTCTGGGAAGTTCTCTTGCTCTGTGTCTTTGGTTATCGCTTTTATTGTTTCATTTTCAGTCTTGTGGGGGCAGGTCCAGAGGGTGTGACTTATGAAGCTGATTCTTTGAAACCTTTGTGAAAGATGTTGACAGTCTTTGCACAGGCTCCGAAGATTGGGGGAAGGCATAAAAAGCATAAAACGGTGGATGCTACTTAGAGGTCTTCGCCCTTTGTGTAGACTGAGCCTGTCCCATCAGCACAGTCTGTGTTCTGTGGACGCTGATTGGAAATGAACCTCTTAACTCCATGCCCAGAATCATCACCCTTTGCATTTCCGAACGATGCAGGGATGGAGAACCCATAGAAAACGAGGAAGAGGATGATGACAAGCACATCTTCAGCGATGACAGTTCTGAGCTGACTATCAGGAACGTGGACAAAAATGACGAGGCTGAGTACGTCTGCATTGCTGAGAACAAGGCTGGCGAGCAGGATGCGTCCATCCACCTCAAGGTCTTTGGTAGGTACAATGCAGTGCAGGTCAAGGTCACAGTTCAGGCTCAATTGCTCCTACTCTTCACACTCTATCCATCAGTAAGGCATGCCCAGACTACCATGGCATACATCCCAAAGGAAACCATTTGCTTCCGGTTCTGACACCTCAGCCCTAGTCTAGAAAATCATTCAATAACACACGATCTTCTAGCTGGTCTTTTTGCTCCCCATCTCGGCTCCCCTCAGTTTTTTCTACTCCTGGTAGTCAGAATGACCTCTATGCCAATCCTCTTTCCAAGATCCCTGTTGCAACTGAAGTAAAAGCCAGATTAATCCCATGGCCCAGTGCACCCTAACCCCGTCTTGTACTCTTGTTCCAGCTTTTCTTCTCTCTGCTCCATAGAGAAAGCTCTCCAGCCACAGCAGTCTCCTTTCTGTCTCTTCCTCACACCAAGCTAATTCCCTGTCTCAGTGTCCCCCATCTCAGGGGCATTGCTTTGGAGACTATACTGCTTGCAGTACCATTGCCCAAGACAGACCTGCCAAGAGTGGCCTTCTTGTTATTGTCAGCTCAGGCACATTTCCATGAGTCCTCCTCACCTCGCCTCTCCTATTGCCTCTCCTCATCCAAGCTGCCACTCTAGTGACTGTCCTCAGGACTCACTGTTTCTTCTCTAAGCACCTAACAATTCCTGAACTAATCCTCCTGACATGTTTGCTTTGGGGGAATGGCTTATCTTCAGTCTCCATTAGCATTCAAAGTGTATTGGGAGCATGCTGGCTGTCTTACATTTGCTTTATCCCTGGTTCTCAAAACAACTCCAGATTCACTCAGGATACTTTGCCTGATGGGTCGCCTAACCATTTTTTTTTTGCCTCCTTTACTGACATGTGTGCCACTGTGTGTCATAGAAGGTCACAGAAAAGACTATCATATCTCCATCCGCTTTGTCCCTATAAGCTCAGCAAACTTCCAGGCATTTCAGAATTGAAACGTGTTTTTGGCCTGCGGGTGCAAAAAGGGGAGTTGTTGCAAAGAAGGTGTAACCTACTGGCTTTCAAAGATCTCTGCTTATCTGTCTAAAAAGCACAGATAAACTTCTGTACCGTAGACCGTGCTGGTGAGCACAAGGCTGGAGAGGGTTCTCTGGTGCCTGTCCCTCCCAGGTAGCTAAGTGCACACATAGGAGCCAGTGTTGGGACCTGCATGTTTAGCCTGATGGAGAGAACTATCTGTAAACATGCTGTTGAAAATCAGGTGCTTTAATGCAAATGGTCCTGGTAATCACAGACAAGCCTTCTCTGTTCACCGATGACACCTACAAATCGGTCATGGGAAAGAACACCAAACTTTATGAAAAGCATGCTTATGTGTGTGTGTGCATGTGTTTGCATATATATGTGTGTGTACAGCTGCATGTATGTTGGTGGAGACTGCTCATTCATTCCAGTTGCCTTGATCCAAAATATTCACACAGAAACTGTATCCATTACAACACTGCTCGGCTAATGACTTTAGCATATTGCTATCTAGCTCTTATATCTTTGGTTAACCATTTCTATTAATCTGTGTATCACAACATGACTGTGGCTTACCTGCAAGGTTCCAGCGCATCTGTCTCTGGCAGTGGCTACATGGCTTCTCCCTGACTCTGCCTTCTTTCAGTTTAATTTCCCCTGCTTAGCTCTGTTCTTCCCTATCACAGACCAAAGCAACTTCTTTATTAACCATATTCACAGCAATAAAACATATTAACAGCATACATCATCTCCCATATCATATGTATATGTCCATGAGGATGGAAACCAAAGGTCAACCTTGGGTGTCATTTCTCAGGTGCTGTCCACCTTGTTGGGAAGACAGGGTTGTCATTAAGCTGCTGGAGAACAGTCTGTCTTCACCTCCCTAAGTGCTGGGATTATAAATATGGCCAACTGTACCCAGGGTTGCTTTTCTTTTATGTGGGTCTAAGGATCAGAGTAAGATTCTAACGTTTGCAAAGTAAACACTTTACTGAATGAGTTGTCTTCCCAGTCCATTAAAAAAATAAATAAATAAACCACCATTCTCAAAGGTGTTTTCTCTCTGCTTCAAATTAATCAACCCCCTTCATCCTGTTTTCGAGATTGTACAGAAGGGCAGGTGCATTTGTTAATTTATCCCTTCATTAAAGAAATATTGAGCGCCTTTGCAGCTAGATAGAGTGGCTAGAGCGATAAGTAGAATTGGACTCCGAGAAGCACAGAGATAGAGATAAACATATAAACATACAGAAGAGAATAGATAGTGTCAATCAGCACCATCCATTTGAGAGCTTACTGTGAACCCAGCCACTGCCAAGTTTAAAATAAAATATCATGGAGTCTGTTCCCATCAGTAGATTCACAAGCATGTGTAGATGTCCAACACTGACATTTTAAGTGACAGCCCCCTATAATGACTCCATAGCAACAGCACGATGTTGTTTTATAGGAAAAGATTTCCTATCCTGTGTGGCATCAGTTAGTCATCAAAATGATGCACCGCTTCGTTTTGAATGGTGGGATAAATGCTTCAGGCATTACTTGGAAGACACACGCTGTGCTGCCTGTGAGCTGCCGCGGACAGGCTCTGCCCGGCTGGCTCACACACATGCTTTCAGCACCTAGGACGTTGGCAGGAGCGGTTGAATAATGAAAGGAACAGCCGTTAGTTCATGTGACTGATGCATGACCCATGTAATGGGGAGATGATCCCGGGATAAAGTTTCCTCTCTTGTCTCTGAGGACCTGTTAAAGCATTGTTCCCATAAAGTAACGATAATAGCAATCCCCAGCCCAGGAGTGTTTATTCCACGCCTTGCCACATAACCACAAATTAGCATCTGCAGTCCCCATCACAGCCCTCTGAGGCAGACTCCATTATTGCTCCTATTTCACAAATGAGGGCAGAGAGCTCAGGTGCTCCTCATAAGGAACCATGATTCAAAGCAAAACCATGGCTTCTTGGTCCGCACCCTGGGAAGGCAGTGATGGCTACATCCATGCAGTCCGTCAGTTCCGGTGCTAAATCTGCCTGTGTAGGAAATGGACAGAAATAGGAGAGACAACATGCTGTCCCTCAACCATGATACTGCACATAGGTTCTCTAGATGCTTTCTACTTGAAAGTACTTCTTAACCTGAGAAATTTGTAAACAGCCTTATTTTACAACTATGATTTTGGTATGCATATACTTTTCCACTTATAAAAAAATGAAAAGCATATTTGCATACCAATGAGATGGGTATGCTTGTATTAAAGAATTAAACCTTGGCCGAATATTTGGTATTACAGAACACAGAATGTCTTCAGTGTTCTTCAGTGTTGCTTGATGTTTTTGTTTATAATCATTGAGACCGAGAACACCACTTTGCATAAATACACAGTACAAAACGGCAGAAATTTGTTTCGGACCATTTCAAAAATTGTTGGAAATTCTGTCTCTAGTCTCAAGCCAAAACTCATTGAATAATTTTTTTGTGTGAAACTCAAGTCAGCAACTCAAACAGCAATTTTTAAAATCAAGCATTCGAACACAATACTATCCAAAGATACACTAATTTGATACTTACATGCCGAGGAAGGATGGTAGGAAAATATTTGAAGTCATTGTTTTCCATAATTAAGCCATTATGTCTCTGTAAGAGCAGAAAACTTTGCATGTGTAGTAAAAACACTACAATTCATAGCATACAATGGTCTTGAATCTGAGCCCAAGGCTTTGCAGCCAGTGTTTGTTGGCATTGTGTGGTGGGATGGCATTTACACGCTGAGAGCTCAGAACCAAGGCTGCGGTGAAGTCACACAATGCAACGTGGGCAAGCACTGCCAGAAGCAACTTAGATCCGCAGTGCATTTGATTTTGAATTAATTTCTGGTCTTTTCGTGTCCGGAAACATTCTACTATTGCCAAACTTTTTCATAGCTTCTGCTTTGCAATTGGGTAACTTCACAGGGTCATAACCCAGCATCTAAGAAGTTGCCCTGTGTAACATACTCAGCTCTATCTTGTTCCTCTTACATTGCCACCGTTCTTTTGGTAGCAATGATTGACTCAGGCAGGAAGGACAAGCAGCAAATGAGGAGTCTTATGGGGGCCATGGGAGAATGAACAGAAGAGATAAGGCCAGAAGAAGTAATAAGGAAGAGAAATGAGGATGGAGAAACAGGCAAGAGAGGATTTGTTTCCCCAGTCTTTATCCTGAATGGACACAGATAATCATCCCTACATCCCTGTACATCTGCATCTGTACACACACCACAATTTCTTTCCCGAGACCATTAGAATGTTCTCTAGACAGCACAGTGGGGCAAACAGAGGAGAGGTAGCTGGGCAGCGAGGAAAACATGGACCTGTAACAATTGTGTCAAATCCAGAATCAGAATTCTCTTCAATGATCCAAGGAGAGCTCATTCAGCCGTCTTGAACTCCTATCTCTCTCCTTTGTGCCTTCTAATCTTTCTTTCCCTCCTCCCTTCTCTTGGCCTCCTCTATTGGTTGAAGCAACTAGTATGAGATCAAAGAGCCTGGTGAAAAGGAGCCAGCTGGCTAGGGCATCTTTCTTCGCTCTTTATCTTTTCCCTTCTAGATTGCTGTCGTGGGTGATCCCCCTAGGTAGGTTTGCTCTGCAACAGTGAGGCTTAATGGTGTTAAAGCAGAAAGAGACCTATACCTTGGGTGGCAAAGAAGAGATCAAATCTCTGATGGCTTCCGAGTGGGTAGCAGTCAGTATGTAAGGAAGATGAGTAAAGCAGAAACTATTGCTATTATAGAATGACCCCCAATGATGGAGACCTGCTCTGGCGTGTGTTGCCGTAGTTACCGGCTAAGGGCTCCTTTCCTTAAGTAGGTGCATTATGCATTGGCTGAGAAGTTCCATCTCTATTCTCTGTGGGTCCTTCTGAAAAAGTATGTTTTGCCTCTGCAGATAATTATGCCTGTGCTAATGATCTTGATGTCTCCTGGTGCCATGAGCTGAGGCAAGTTTAGTGGAGGCAGAAGCCTTGGCTATCTGACTCTTAACTAAGGCAGAACTTGTGGGTAATAGCAAGAGACCCCTGGAGGCTGAAGGAGAAAGTCTTGGGGCTCTCCTTGGACCAGGCTCCCAGACACTGTTGAGCCAGGATTGGACATGGCTGTTGCTGAGTGGCATATTACAGGACAGTGGACTGACTAGTCCTCACAGGATTGTGAGGAGGGTGGTGGTTTGAATGAGGAATGCTTCCCATGGACTCAGGCATTTGGACCCTTGGCTACAGTTGTTGGTACTGTTTGGGGAAGTTGAGAAAGTATGACTCTACAGTCACTGGAGGTAGAATTTGAGCATGTATGGCCTTACTTTGGTTCCAGTTGACTCTCTGCTTAGTTTAAAAGAGGTGATGGCTCAACTTCTTGCTCCTGCTGCTCTGCCTAATGCTTGCTGCAAAGCATTAGAGTTCACCAGGAGGGACTCTATTCCTCTTGAACCATAAGCTAGAACAAATCTTTCTTCTATAAATTGTCTTGGTCATGGCGATTTATTACAGCCGCAGAAAGGAGCTCATGCAAGGAGAGATTGCAACCATTGGAGGCGCTAAGTCTCAGCGAGGCAGGGAAACCAGAGAAGAATGCTGTGAAACCCAGGAGCGCTTGCAGAACTTAAGCTGGAGCAAGGACAATGGGAAGATAAAACTCGGAGAGATCCCTCTTGGTGCTAGCAGCAGAGAAAGGGAATCTTTGCAAGCAAGAGACACTCTCCATAAGTCCCTATTTGCCTGGTACTGCTTTCTGTCTTCACGTAGTGGATATGGTTCATGATGGTTGGGAATGTGTGATATCAGGAACATGAGACCAGCCTGGCGATCAGGAAGCAGAGAGATCACATTTCATCTATGTACAGGAAGCAGACAGGGAATAGGAAGTGGGGTTGGGCTATAAAATCTCCACCCCCAGTGATGTACTTCCTTCAGCAAAGCTCTGACTCCAAAAACTGCCATAACCTTCACAAACAGTGCCACCAGCAGGGGCCAAGTGTTCAAACCTATGAGCCTCCGGGGGCATTTCATAAACCTCACCACCCGTGCAGGCTCTGCCTTCCTCTAGCGCTGACAACAGTGCTGCTTCCAGAGGCAGAGAATGGAATCATCCTTTCCAAAGCTCTGTTGCCTATACAAAGTTAGTCTTTGTTAATAATATGTTGCTGGCACTTGATTTTATTTCTAGGACTTTGAAAGGCAAGAGGATCTCTGTGAGTTTGAGGCCACACTGGTCTCAAAGCAAATTATAGGCTATCCAAAACTATATAGTGAGTCCCTATAAAAACAAAATAACAACAACAACAAAAAAAACCCTTGTAGAAAAATGTGGTTTCCCTTTTGATAAACACTTGTATAATATAGTCTTTGTAGCCATCTAGGAGACAGTGACACATAAACCAAATGTTAATAGATGTTACCTGACCCTTCCTCTGTTACTCTCTCTCCCTCTCTGACAAGACAAAGTGCTGAGGGCAAGGAGAAGGTCAAAAGCTCTGTCTAAGTCTCAGACTCTTTACATTCAGTTTCCAGAAATTAGGCCATTGTAGTCAGCTTGTTCCAGCCCCCAAGTCACCGTTTAGAGACTCTGTGTGGGGTTTTTCTTTTATTTGTTTTGTTTTGTTTTTCAAGGCAGAGTTTCTCTGTGTAGTCCTGGCTGTTCTAGAACTCTCTCTGTAAGACCAGACTGGCCTCGAAATCACAGAGATCCACCACCTCTGCCTTCCCAGTGCTGGAATTATCTGTTCTTCTCTATGTCTGTTGTCCTTTTCCTTTTCCTTTGGTTATTTTGGTAACCTAGAGATTCAACTTCTCTTTCACCTTGATTTTGCTTTGCTTTATTTTACCCTCTAAAAGTTAGTGTTTGATACGAGTGACTCCTCCTTCCATATGATGTAAGTTCAGACCTCCTTCCTGCAAGGCATCTGTACCAAGCAAGGTAAGACATAAAGTCTTCCTATAGACAGCTTCAGCCGGAGCTCCTGAACTCCATCCTCTCAACAGCATTTGGCCATACTGGGTTAACATTTGTCCATGTGCCAGACATGAGACAATAATTTGCTAAGTGTCCTGTTAGTAATGTTAAGAAGCCATGTGAACTACTCAGGTGATTTTTTTTTAATTTGGTCTGGAAGCAAACCATTTGTCACTGATTCCAGTTTATTGAAGCATCATGGAAGACTTTCAGTAGAGATCTTCTCAGGCCGTATTTCCTTAGTTGACTTGCTGTTACTATGAATTTGAATAGAAAGGAAATAAAGCGATTTCACAAGCTGCCTGTCATTCCAGCTTTGTGTCTTTTTTACCTCACCTTTCTCTCCAGTAGTGAAGTAAGTTATTTGCGCAGCCCTATCTTTTCTCTTCTATGGAAGGTTTAGCAATTTCTGAGTATAATTGTCTTAAATTAGGAAAATTCATTTTTCTCTAATGTTTTCACATTAAATGCAGCTTTAGAACGTGTGTGTTCTTTGCATTACTTCAAACATTTAGAAAATGAACTCAGTTCAGCTTCTCTCCTCCCTGTCTTCAGCCTACCCTGAAACACATAACCAAAATTTCCACCTCAAGGTTTTCTCCATTCTAGAGTCCCCCCCCCCAGATTATTCTTTTTGGGGTCCAACAAGACTCCACCCACGAGCATCTCTGGTTTATTGGTAAAATCGCAGTTGCTGAACCTTGTTCTCTTGTCCTCAAAACCCCCACCTCTCCTCCCCTTCATTCCCCTTTGTGCCTTTTCTTTCGTTAAAGAATTTTCTGAGCTTAGAATGATTCCATTCCACCCAAATTTGCACCTGCTGAAAACCTCATGGCCCAGCCCCAAAGCCCTCTCCCTGTGAAGGCTTAAGCCAGCATAGCACTCTCCTGCAGCAGGCTTCAAGCACCTTACTGGCTGTATACTCCAGAGGGTGTTTATCTGACTGTTTCAATGGTACCAGCACCTTCAGGGGCTCAGTTCCGTGCCCCTACTATACCCAGAATTGAGCCTCATATTTAGTAAATAAGAGACCTTTTTAAACGGGTTCGTGTTGTCACTTAAACCCCAAAGAGTGAAATAACCAGATAAACTCATGGAAATGATTGTTTTTCTTTTCAGCAAAGCCCAAAATCACCTATGTAGAAAATCAGACGGCCATGGAATTGGAAGAGCAAGTCACTCTTACCTGCGAAGCCTCAGGAGACCCCATCCCCTCCATCACCTGGAGAACTTCCACCCGAAACATCAGCAGTGAAGAAAAGGTACAATGTCACCCAAGAGTTTCAGGGCTGTGGAAAGCAGACTTGAAGCACCTCAAGTCTACCCCAGACCCAGTTCTCTTTGGCATGTGGCAAGATGGGATGTGGTCATCCGTAGCCACAGTATATCCTGCAACCTCCCTCCCCGAGCCTGCCTGGTTGTGGTCTACTCAGCATCCTCTCACAGTGGGATGGGCACTCTTCCCTGTCTAGATTGCCATGGGCATGTTGGCAGTGGGCATGGTCAAGTTAGACGTGTTGGGGAGGAGGCAATAGTGAATTTCTGATCCAGGCTTATGGGACTGTGAGGACCCAAGACAAACAAGATTCTGGGGGCATCAGATGATGTTGTCATCAGCTCAGATGCACCCAGAAAAGTGTCTCCTAGAAACACCAGGGATCAGGATGAGTCTATTAACTCTCTTCCTCGCGTCTCATATACTCATGCTGTACGCACTCTCTGCACAAAAGCTTGGTTGCCTTTGTGTCTGCCTGTATTCTTGGTCACATTTGGATTCCATTTTGTTCTAAAGGCAAAAATAATTAGCAGTTTCTAGATGATGGTACTTATAGCTGGGTTCTGCAATGTGGAAGTAAATTCCTGACAAGCCAAAATGATTTAGAACATTTAGCTTTAAGGTGAATGTATCTGTAAGCCATTGGAAAGCTATCTTTATTACTGGTAATATAAAAACATTGGTGTGACCACCACCCCATATCATGCTTTGCTACTGAGTCAGCCAAAAACAAACAAACGAACAAACAAGTAGAAGGAAGGGCTAACTTGCAAAGCAGTGTAGATATCTTTAGGACAAGCAACACAGTAGAACACATGGCTCTAAATTCAATCTGAAGCAGTGTATAAAGTAAAAATACTGTGGTTTTATGGCACCTTTCCAATATTAATTTTGCAGCTCCCATAGTAATAGGCTTTGTTTTAGTTGGTCAAAGCTTGGTTGCCTACTTAGGAGTAATAGCCATAGTCTTAAAGAGTATGCATAATGGATTGCCTATTGACCAGAATGTCAAAAAATGATAGATATGCACTCTTCTGCCCTGCTCCAGGAAATCTCTAGAAACAAACTGAAATAAAGTTGAAGGGAAAATGTTAAGTAGCAGGGCAAAAAGTGAAATTTGCATTTGAGGAACTGATTTGTACCTGGGTGACAGAAAACTAAGCAAAATCTAAAGGAACAAAAAACTCTCTTCCAAATAGCCCATTCCTCTTTTTGCAAGTTTGATACCCAGAATTAAATCCAACTTAACATAAACTCAACTAAGGAACTGCTAAATATTTTTGAAACTCGCATATGCTGTTTGATCTGCAAAAGCCAGCTAAATTAAGAATTTAGGTGTTTACTTCAATAATTTCTTTATCAACACTGTAATTAAATTCCCAGCTATGATTTTGGCTTCCTTTGTGTGTTACATGGACCCAATGTACATTTCAGGGCTTAATCCACATGGGCACTGCCTGGCCAGTCTTTCTACATTAGATTTCAAAGTAGATTTGTCCAAGTGACCCAGTATGTATCTCTGACCTACAGTGAAGGACGAAACATCTATTTCAGATAAATGACATTTTTAAGTTCTGTGTCTTTTCTAGAAATAGCTCAACAGTTAAACTAGACAAGAAAGATTATTAAGATTTGTGCCTACTTGGGGTTTGTCTTTATTAGGTTGGCACTTTTGGCTCGTACCTATGATTTCATTTTTCTAAAATGATAATAAATAGCTAGGAACTAATCTGCACTCATATTCCCTAAATATTGAGACTGAAAATAGCATGAAAAAAATCTCAAGCCCTGCTGGGATTGATTTAAAAAAAAAAAAAACCCTCAGTTTTCTATTGACTGTCTGTCTTGATCTGAGATAACTGTTTAAGCCCAGCACAGATTAGATCACAGTTTCTTTCACTGGAGACTAGCTTCAGGTTTGCTTGAAGAGTCGTTAATGGAGCCCGAGTCCGTCAGTGTCTGAACAGTCCTCCGGAGAGGTGCATCATGCTTCCACATCAATGTATTTGCTTAAACCAAATCTTATATGATAAAAGTTGCTGCTTCTACTAATTAAATATTGGCATCAGAGCTTGATGCCAATCTGATATTGTAGATGGCTAGTAATGATGAAATGTGGTCTGTCTGTGAGCAAGTCGTTCTAATTCAAGTCATTTTTACTCTGGCAACCTCCCCTCCCATTCTTTCTTACGTAAAGTTGTATTATATATCATTATGTATTGAGATCACCAGCACCATTGAATTATAGGAGTAAGGAAAATCGTTTGTAAAATTGGCGTGCTCAGCTAGGCAGGTCACAAAGGTACCCGTTTATCTAATGAGTGAAACGAATGATTTCCCTCAGCATTAAGTCCCGTAGAACTGCAGGCTAAGAGATGGTTTTGGAAGAGCCTTTTTGGGTGACGTGGTTCCACCTGTCTTGCTCTCTGGCATCCTTGCCAGGTCACTCAGCCCCCACCTGACATGTGATGGTTACAGCATTGCGAAGGGCTGTTGTCTTTTCCCCTTCCACGACTCGGAAACCTCCACCTCTGCCACTCAGAATCTGAGTCACTGAAATAGAAGCTACAGCTCGTCTTCCTTTAACAGCCACCCAAAATTCTCCAGTGCCTCGTATGTCAGGATTTCTATACCCTTCACCCTGATGGCTGTCCTATACCTTGATAGCTTCAGTTCACCAGCCCTCAATAAAACCTTACTGTCCCCCTGTAACCTGAACAGAGTCAGCGGAGTTATCACCGTGATCTAGATATATCATGTAGTCAGGGTAGCATTAGCCCTTGAGTCATGTCATATTATGGTCACCTAGAATATGTAGGTCTATACTGTGAACTACATTTAGGTGACTTATGTCTTGCTGCCTTCTCATGAAACTGATTGCAAAAGCAGCAATGCAGAATTGTATGTGTATTTCATTTGTCGCAGCTTTGTTTCTCAGCCTCAGTCATGTTGACCCTTTAGGAAGACTCTCCCTTCGCTAGGACTGTCCTACGCATTGCAAGATATCTGCCATTTCTCGCCACCCCCAATACCAGCAACCAATTGCAATCATTACTAAAACTCTCCCTGCCCAGAGAGCTACTGTCTCAGACCATCTTTCAGTTGGCATTAGCTGTTCATGAGAATTTTACTTACAAATCTGGAAGTCAGAATACTTCTTCTCAGGTTGATCCCCTTATGCTATATCCGCATGTTAAAAGGAATAAGGTAGGACAGTCAGTGGTGACCCCAGCACTAAGCGTAATGTTCAAGGGCAGGGAACTCAGCAGCATTCCCCGTGCAGCTGTCACCTAACATCTGTGTTAGCATTGCTTGCAAACTGAGGGTCCTTACTCAAAATATCTATGTGAGCCCTTTCTCAAAGTATCTAAGCCACTGATGAAGATGTTGACTGGGGCAAGGTCCAAGCTCAGAGACCTCCGATTCCTTCTGTGTCAGTGGCTCCGAAAGCGATGGGATTGATGCGTCGGTGCTATGGTGCTCTTCTGTAATCCTGGTAGATTTTTTTTTTGGAGGTTCAGGTTCCTTTAGCAAGGAGTATAAGTAAATTAAACCAGCTTTGTCTTCCACATCATTGATTGGCTGTAACACTGCCCTTCTCATTAGATTTCACCTACAGACCCGTAGTGACTTGCTGATAGAATACCAGAATCCTTCTTCCTTATAAAGGAAAGAAGAAATGAATTCAAAATGAGTATAGTCACACCATGCCCTTGATTACGTCTCTGCTCCGAGTCTCATCCTAACTGGAGAAAGTCGCATCAATCCATTAAGCCTCAGGCAATGAAGTTGCTTTAGGTTAGCAACTATTCGTAGCTAAGATGGGTGTGACTACTTAGATGATTGGTATTGGTGAGGTAGATCGGATAGCCAAACGTTGATCTGTTTCTTAGCAACCATTATTATCCTGAGAAGAAGGGAAAGTGAGTATCATCACGGGTTAGTTTTCACACGTATGTGAAGGTGTTTGTGATACTAGCGAAGATTAAGCATCTGTGTCATGTCAGCCCTCGTCCTAGACAGAGCCATCGTAAAAATTGCCAGGTGTTTGAGTTTGCTCAATTTCAGGCACCATTTACATATTGAGTGAGACCCAGGGATTATGATCTGCATACTCAATGCTAGGCATAAAGAAAGTCATCCATCACTTGCTATTTAGGTGTCTTTGTGCCTTGAGATGACTGTAAAGAAGAGTATGTGAGTCCTTCACCACTAAGGATAAAGAAGGGTGAGGTGCTAGATAGAACAGACAGAGTGTCCACAAATAGGAGAGACCTTTGGAAATTCTGAGTTCTTTCAAAGTCCAACCTTTCTTTTCACGAGGGAGAATTGGGTACAAGCTCAGTGCCCACTTTTAAACATCGGGAAATGTTCTGCTTAGACTGATCAGAGCCTGATCTAAGATACAGTGAATGTATCTAGGGAATGCTTAACACAAGGGAAGAGGACTTTAATTTACATATAAACTATTAGATACATTTATGTAATAACAAAAGATAAGTATTGAAACAACCAAACACTAACAACACTTGGAGCATATTCATCATAGTGTACTTGTTTCCTAATTATATAGATTTGAATATCAGATTGCCTTAAAGTGGAACATGTCTTTACCAAATTGTTGGAGCCAAGACAGACATTTGCTACATTCTGCCAGGGAAGAATTAGGTTAAGCTACCAGAAGCCTGTGTCCCTAACAACAGCTTATTTTAAAAGCCATAGAACACTAGTGATTTGGGATTGAGACCCTGAAGATTCCAATTTGAAAACAAATAACCATATGTAATCTAACCCCATTAAAAAAAATAAAAGTCTTGATGACACAGCCCTGGCATGTGACAAATAAGCTTTCTAGTATTGTAGAATTGTCGACTATAGCTGACGTGTTGGCCCACTGTGACTTTGGCCTAGCATGTTCTTCGTTCTCATTTCCTCCTTCATCCCAACATTATGTAATGTAACATGTCCATCCTCGTGTCTCACAAAAACACCTCGCATTTCATGAACTTACTGTTTGCTAACTCATTCACCTTCCCTGTCTCTAGCATCTTTTGTGTCCTTTGCCATCTGAACATCAAAGACAGTCAGTCAGGAATGCCACCACTAAAAAGATCATACAACTCTGGTGTCTTTGACTCAGGGTTTGAAAACAGAAAGCTTAAGCAGAGAAGATTTTATGTGCTGGATAAATTAACAAATCTAGCCTTGAGCAGAAAGTTCCCTAAATCCTCATGTGTGTGACTTTTCTCACTCTCTCCCCTCTCTCATTAGTGGTGAGTTGGATGGAGAGGGTCCATGTTTCCATCCAATTGCTATCTGGGAACTTCCTATCTTTAATCAATAAAGTCCCATTGTCAACACCCAGGATTTAGTATCCTCAGAGCTTCCTGACCCATAGTCTCAAAGACTTCATACTCACACACTCATTGTATCTCTCTGCTCTTTGCTTTGTTCCTTTAAAAAAAATAACTTCTAATTAAGTGCATGCTGAGTTGGAAAATGCATGAGCATTAAATGGCTTAAGTATGTGTGTGGTAATCTGTCTAAAACATTCAGAGGAAAATCTACTTTCTAAATAACCCTCAATTATTTGATAAGAAGGGATAGTGCCCTCAAATATTACAAAGGCTGTTTAAGATGGTTTGCATAGGAGGCACTGAATATGTCTGCTTGTATCCATATATATATTCTCAGAGCTTAATTCACGTTTGATTTAGACATTTTAATATGCATAAGAGGGAGGGGAAGCTGAACGTCAGCTAAGTTCGGAATTAAATTTGGGGGTTAGTCATTGTCATTGAAAGTGGGCCTTGAAACAAACTTCTGACGTAAAAGGAAGCTGCATGTGCACGGAATGCAGTGTGAGTTCTCTAAAGCAACATGTGACATTTTACTGCCTTCTTGTTGTGTTTTATATCTTGTTCTCTCCAGGCTTCGTGGACTCGACCAGAGAAGCAAGAGGTATAGCTTACCTGACCACTAGCCAGTCTCTAGCTCTCAAAGCATTTCGGTTTAACTCACCATCACAGTTAATAACCAACCAGACTCGCTAACCTAATGAGCACTTTAGTTAAAGATTAGGTCCATAGCCGTAGACATCACCTAGCAATAGTGTCATTGTTTTAGGATGAGCAAGCAAGCTGTGTTGGGAGTGGAGGAACAAATCCTTATTATTTCCTAAAACAGGACCTTATTCTCTTACTGATGCTGGTCAAATCATACCCAGGTCATTGTACTGATAGAAATAAATTGCCCCAATTCCCAAGCCAGGCATTTTGAAATAATAAAAAAAAAATTTAACTCTCCTCTGGTGGCTGTGGCTCTGGACCATAAAGTCACAGAGTGAGTGATCTAAAACCCACTCAGCCCTTTCCTTTCCAGCTCAACTCATCTTGTTGCTCACTTATTTGATAATGACTGGCCTTGGTAAATTATCACATTGCATTTCCTGTCAAAAGCAATGCCAACGACATCTTTCACAGGTTTCTCCAAATCGTTCAACGAATCTGTTATTTTTATGGAGCATTAAATGTGTACGATTGGAGTGATTTGGCACAAATGGGTTTATGTTTTGTAAAGTCGGTAGCATTTAGCCTTTGGAATTTCCCTGCCTATTGTTTCAGTCTAGGTGACATGGGACTCAGGTGGAAAACTAAGCATTAACTTTTCTATCTCATTGCACTACTTGGAGACCCTTCATATGACCATGCCTGTCATTGTTTACCTGGTTCATGTAACTATAAGTGACCAATTGGAACATAAAAACCAGTTGGTCTGGGACTAGGGAGATAGAGCTCAGTCAGGAAAGTGATTGCCACACCAGGACCTGGTACTGATCTTCAGCACTCATGTTAGAAGCAAAGCATGGTATTTTGTGCTTGTAATCTCAGCACTGGGGAGGAACACACTAATGGATCCATGGGGCTCATTGCCCTGCTAATCTTACCTGATCAATAAACCCTAGATCCCAGCGAGAGGCTCTTTCTGGAAAAACAGAGTGGATGGTTCCTGAAGAACGAGACTTGGGTTTGACTTCTAGCTTCCATATAGACATACAAATGTGCATGTGTACACACACACACACACACACACACACACACACACACAACAACTGTATGAGATTAAAACATTTAATTTGTGAATGCTTTCTGTTAAATTCCCTTTTGTGTCCTTCTCCAAATGCAGCTTTAATGCCCCAATTTACAGTCACAGAAGACAATCCAGCAGTGCAATAGGCTCTATATTTTAATTCAGTGAGCGCACCCTCTTAGTCTTTCTGGGTGATAACCATTCAGAACACATATCATATGACCCATGTTCAGGTCATAACCTTAAATATTGAATGCCACTTAGTATTTAAAAGTTGTTCGCCTGACTCCTGGCAGGGGCATCCATTTCTGCACCTGAGCGGTCCGCCATCATCAAATCTAGTTCATCTCTGTAATGTGCCTTCCTCGTGACATGGCATGGGGACTGTTGTTAAAGCACATGTCCCCACTGAAAGGCTTCCCTCCTGTGACCTTGAAATCACTTTGTGTTGTCATAGGCTAGGTATTGAGTGTGTTATTGCCCCAAAACTATGGCCCCATTGGCACTGGGAAGAGAGAGAGGAGGGGTTAATGATGGGCTGGCTTCCACAGCTACAGGGCTCATTCTGCTTTGCCTTGTGCGCCTTCTTCTGTCATTCTGAGCTAGACCTGGCTTGAGGAGTCACTGCAGGTTATCAGGGAATGTTAAGGAGGTTTTAAATGGATTATCATTATATGTGGAAATAGTGGGTGTACTCCCAGGAAAGCGTACACCCCCAAACCCATTTACCAGAAGTAAATCTTTTATCCTGAATGTTTCGCTTTGGACATTAATTGACTTTCGAGTGAATGCTACCCATGGGGCTCAGAAGTTCCATTTTCTCCTGTTTGAGTCATTCAGAGATGGAGACCATCGTCCAGATGAGTGCAAAGACTGTCTTACGTTGTGGCCGTGTTCTTTCTGCATTCTCTGAAAGGCTTAACTCTTTCATCTGGCAAAAGGGAGAGAATAGTTTTTCTGGGAATAATTAGAGTCACAAATATTTTTTTAAAGAGAGAGAGAGAAAGACCTCGGTGCTGTAGTATTCTTGTTTCACTGTTACCTGAGCGCACTGCTCCCTCTGGGGAAACCCGAGTGGTCAGCAGGACTTTTGGTTGGCATGTCTTACGAGTGTATCCCTGTGCCAGAGGAAATTATTTCAGGATGAGATCGCTCAATCACACTGGAGTCCGTTGGCGTATCCTCCAAGGGATAACTGGACACCTGGTGGAGAATCCCATCATCAAACTTGCAGTGAGCCGCTACAAAATAAGAAATCCCTATAGAGGTTTGCCTACTGGTGTGATGACATCATTAAATGACAGAAATCTCCAACAGGGAAATGTAGGCAGGAAGACCAGGTTTAAAAAATAAGTAAACAAACAAACAAAAAGAAGTATGTACAGTCTTTCCAGGAGCTTGTCTTCAGACATTTCTGAGTGAATGCTGTTCATCCCTTGCTTCCGTGACAAAGCTCTTACCTGTGAGACTCCCCTTACCTCCTTTTCACGGAGTCGTGTTCTCTTAGATCCCTGAGGATTATATACATGGTCGTCCCTGGACAAGCCTGATCTGGGTCACAAATCCTCACAGTTCATCCCACAGTTGACAAGACCACGTGTGGACCTTCAGTCCCTTTTCCTTCAATTATGCCGTACTTTAGGCAGAGAGGAGTGACAAGCAAACCAAGCCAGCTTTTTAGAGCTACCTGCAAGAATGACATCATGCTTTCAGTGTCTCTAATACACACTGATGGGTGAAGATTTTGTTTGACATATAACAATAGTGACTAAGATGGTCCACTGTCAGCCTACAAGAAACAGAGTCCTAGCATCTCGCATCTCCAATAAACTGAATGTCTCTAGGCTCTCTGGGACCGTCTCCTGTCACCTCTCACTAATGTGTACCATGTCCTAGGATGCAGCTTCTTGACCAACAAGCCTCCCCTATTTTCAGGTCAAATGGGAACACCAGGGTATCCATTCCTGAGAGAAAGAGATGCACAGAGCTGTAGGCACAGATGGTTTTCCTTGGCCCTTCTCTCCCTTGCTGGAAGCATGCTTTAGCTCCCAGATACAACTCAGAACTGAACTGGTAACTGAAGTGGACCTGATCCCAATGGTGCTGATCATTGGTAGTAAAGGGACTTTGTACCATACATCTGCTATGACTGTTGTACAAGGCCAGTGAGATCTTTCTTTTCTACTTCCTGGACTAACTGACAGAAGACATTGCAATTCTGCCTCCCAGGCTTCTGATCCAGCATGTTGGCAGAAACTCAAGTTATATGTCATTTAATTCTCTGAAGAGCAAACCTGATACCTTGGCAGATGTAGTACTCGCCTCTCATCCATCTCTACTGAGAATCTTGTGCTAGATTTAATGGGGTGTCCCAGCTTGCACAAAATAGGGTTCTTCTTCAGTTTATCAGTTTGCAGGGCACTCTGGCCCAGGAGCACATACCTAGACCCTTGGAGGGCTGGCTCCCCTTTTGCTTAGAATGTCAAGGAGGGAACCCTTGCAAATTCTCTACTAACCATTGCCTAGGGATTGTGTGCTCATTCATTTCTTGTGAGTCTGGAGACTCAATAAACTAATGGCAGTATCAAAGACTAGAGATGGCTGCAGGCTTTGGTACAAAGGATCCTGGGTGAGTCTAGGACTCTCTTTGCCCTGTATTTTGAGAGACGACTTTCAGTTCAGCAGTTCCGGAGCTTTGGCTTGTATCCCCATTAAGAATGATGATTGTCTTGCTATCAAGTGTCCAAGGAAAAGACGCATCTACAGGAAGGATATTTCTTCCCTAACTCCTTACATTTGGGTCATTGACATTCCCTAGTACACATTCACACACCATGGAACTGGGTGTGGGGGAGTCAGACTAGAGGGAAAGGATGGGGCAAGAGAGAGGTCCCCAGGATCTCAAAAGGCAAGGCCTTGCTGAATGAAATTTGTGCCTTGCTGGAATTTCTGTGCCATCCAAGACTTTTGCTTCCATTTTAATACATCCCGAAGTAGTCTTGGGTGGCCTTACTATGCTCCAAACTGATCGAGTCCCATTTTCTGTTTGAACTATGTTAAAGCTCCTACTCTGTTCCCACACTCTCCCCCCGTTATGAATTAGGTGAAGTGAAATTAGAAGCTGATATAGAAAGAACACTAGAGACCGGTCACAGACAAGCAATGACCTTGTCTCCTAGACCCACACTGTTCTAGCTGCCTCTGCCCTCTGCCTCACCTCAGACTCTGATGCTGTCCTTTCCTCCTGGCAGACTCTGGATGGACACATGGTGGTCCGCAGCCATGCTCGTGTGTCCTCCCTGACCCTGAAGAGCATCCAGTACACAGATGCTGGAGAGTACATCTGCACTGCCAGCAACACCATTGGTCAGGACTCCCAGTCCATGTACCTTGAAGTTCAATGTAAGGAATGGCCGGGGAAGGAGTGGGTGGGGGAGGAGCAGTGAAGGATCAGGATGCTGGAGACCTATGAGCTTCAGCAACAAGCTCCATCATGTTCATTCCCCGAGGCTGTTGGTCCTCAACTGTTCCAGAGCTATGCCCCCAGGTACACACACATGCACACACACACACACACACACACACACACACACACATACACACACACACACACACACACACACACACACACACACACCATCCCCAAGCTAATCATCCATGCTGAGTTTTCTCAAGCCGAACATGGATACACATGGATTCCAAAATGTCCCAGAGCTCCACTGGTTTAAGAACGCCCTATGCTTTGGGTCATGCCTACCTTCCCAGTGCCAGAAGACAGGCTGTGGGTCTTCCAAAAAGTGGTAGCTGTTCTGATGTTCACTGTTATTCATTTCAGATGCCCCCAAGCTCCAGGGCCCTGTGGCTGTGTATACTTGGGAAGGGAACCAGGTGAACATCACCTGTGAGGTCTTTGCCTACCCAAGTGCCACAATCTCCTGGTTCCGAGATGGTCAGTTGCTGCCAAGCTCCAACTACAGCAATATCAAGATCTACAACACCCCGTCTGCTAGCTACCTGGAGGTGAGTTGGGGTGTGGGAAAGGGCAGAGCGGAACAGGCTGTGTCATATTGGGAAGGGCCCCATCACTTCTCCTGCTTCCCTGGCATTTTCTGAACTGGGGAACACTGAATGGAGAAGAAACTAAGCCTTTCTCTAGGTCTCCATCCTCAGCCTCACTGGTCCTAAGCACATGGATAGACTGGGATTGGCAAGTGGAATGTGCCTCTCCTGTGAGCCACTGGGTTCTTTCCACTGGGATTGATGATATCACCATATTTATCCTTTCCTAACTGTATCTAAGAAACCAAAATAAGTGTGGCCATCCATAGGACATTTGTAACCCGTTGGGTCCTTCCTTCTACAGGTAACCCCTGACTCAGAAAATGACTTTGGAAACTACAACTGTACGGCAGTGAACCGCATTGGGCAGGAGTCCTTGGAATTTATCCTTGTTCAAGCAGGTGAGTACCCTTCATCGCAACTTCCACAGCATCCCTGCCCTTATTGGCCCATCCCGTACACTTTAAGGACACTAGTGAAGGGGTAGAAGACAGATCCAGGCTCTGAAAAGTCAGAGGGTCAAGAAGCAGGAAGCCACTTCAAGTATGAGAATCTAACTACAGGTTGAGCTGAGAATTTGAAGTGCACTAGGAAAGAGGAATCTCCCAAATCAGAAATTCTTACTATTAGATAGGATCCCCAAGAGGGAGCAGAAGCGTGGGATATATTTCAAAGTGTAGCCTTGGGCCACATATATGACCTGGGCGTCTATATGAATTCTCACAGACACACCGTCTTCTCCATCCATCGACCGGGTGGAGCCATACTCCAGCACAGCGCAGGTGCAGTTTGACGAGCCAGAGGCCACGGGTGGCGTGCCCATCCTCAAATACAAGGCTGAGTGGAAGTCTCTGGGTGAAGAAGCATGGCATTTCAAGTGGTATGATGCCAAAGAAGGTGAGTTCAGCACATACCATCGAGTTCTTTAGACCTTTGCTGACCATGTAGGTAGGGGAACGGGCAGGATGTCACCGTCTACCATCCCATCCAGTTTCCTCCGGAACTAGGAACTCTCCAGCTAGAATTAGATTAGGGTCATGCTTCCATAGAGTTGTTGGCCTTCTGTCCCTTGCTGCTTCTGACCTCATGACCTCACCAGTATAGGCAGAACACCACAGATGCCTCCTAGACAGAAGACCTAATTAGCTGGTGATCTTGGTGGGGAAGGTAAACACAGAGCATCCCTCTCTGCTCTCTGCTTCTTCTCTGATGACTCCTGGCCATCCCTGCTTGGTGTTTGTATCCAGGGACTGTCATGTACTAATGGCAGTAGCCAGGCCAGCAAGATGATGGACCTACTCTGAACCAATCCTGTTTTATCTTCCAAGTTAAGTCAATCCAATGATGTCATTCAAGATTAAATATCTCTCTCTCTCTCTCTCTCTCTCTCTCTCTCTCTCTCTCTCTCTCTTTTCCTCTCTTTCTCTTTCTCTCTCTGGTGGAGTTATCTCTCTTTCTCTTT